GTACCTATGGTTCCGAAGGTGTCGGAGTCACCGTAGAAGGTGGCATGAGCGCCTTGCCATGCACCACCAGTGTAAACTCCTGGGATTCTTGCTTCAGCCACCCACATAAGTGAGATGATTAGAGAAGCAATGCAAGTAGAAACGCTCACCACACCCATTTTCTTCTTCTTCTAAATTTTCCCAGAAACAAACAGAAAATAGAGAGAGAGAGAGAGAGAGAGAGAGAGAGAGTGTGTGTGTGTGTGTGTGTGTGTGTGTGTGTGTGTGTGTGTGTGTGTGTGTCAGTCAGTGACGTACTGATAGGGTGAGGAGTTAGAAGGAGGGGTGGTGGATTACTTATGGAGTTTTTTTTGGAGATCAGGATATAGCATTATCCGGGCAAAAATGCCAAAGTTTACAAGAAGGCCTACACAGAGGCAAACAACCAACTACATATACTAGAAAAAGGTAGTGCAAGGAGGTTACAGGAGACCAAGACACTGCACCTAATGGTAAAGCGTCCCTCCTCACACTACAAAATACAATTCGTGGGGGCAAGGAAGGCCATCATTACACAAAACATGAACAAGAGAAGATGGGGGTCTATCGACCCAAATATGATCACATACTTCTCTACAACACCGCGAAGCCAAAAGGTCTACTGCCGAGTTGGTCGATCTTGGAACCCAAAACCAGCTGCAATCTTGAAACCCCCCTCCCGAAATTGTTGCATTTCACAATAATAAGAAAAGCTTCCCAACTGCCCTTCCTTGCCAAATCCTTTAGACAAGAAATTGATTCCAAGGAGTCAGACTCAACCATTATTGAATTCCAACCCCTACTAATCCCCAATTTACATCCATGCATAATAGCCATCGCCCCTACCATTCCAACGCTAGTTGCCTTCACGCTATACCCGCATGCTGCCAAGAACTTGCCCTCATCATCCCGTGCCACCACTCTCGTAAACCCCAACCCATCCCTTGCAACCCAGTTAGCATCCACATTTATCTTTATGAATCCCATACTCGGTGGAGACCATCTAACACCAATATTTGTTTCCTAATAACTGGGTACAAGTGTAGTGGGCGAAAATGATTTGGCCTCCTTGAAGGTTAAAGCAAAATGGGAGATAGCAGCAATAACCTGTGTTGGGTATATTTGTTGTTGGTTTAACTGAAAATTACACCTTGATTTCCATATATGCAAGCATGTAAAGGCAATATATGAAAGCATATTATTCCTCACCTCATTCGAACCATTGGCTGACTCATGCATTTGTAGCAGCCAGTTTGCCCAGCTTGAAATCTCCATCCCATTCATCCTTAAATTTAACCTTCCCCCAAACCAAACCGCTTCCACCCACGGGCATTCAAGGAAAAGGTGTTCGATTGACTCTTTCTGAGACTCACAGATAGGGCACAAAGGAGATAAGGACGAACGTCTTTGGTATAAATTAGCCATTGTTGCAAGCGTAATATGAAGGGTCTTCCACATGAAGCATCTGAGCTTTGGTGGAACCTCCAACTGCCAAACACGCTTCCACAGTGTTCCTGGAATGGTAGCTGACATGTGAAGGTTGAGGCTCCATTGTGATTGGATTCATGTATGAGCCCAATGATATCCAGATTTAACCGAAAGCATCCCTTTCTTTTCAAAAGGCCACACTAGCATATCCCTTAAAGTCGGTTCTCCGATGTGAGTCTCCAAGATTGCATCGAACTCCTCCTCCACCATAAATGGTTTCAAAAAATCAATATCCCATTCCCCGTTCAACAGGCAAATTAACGAGCTAACCATTAGGTTCTTTGAAACCTGCACCGTGCCCAAGGGGGAGGGTTTGCCCAAGGGAATAGCTGAGAGCCATCTATCAATCTAGACCCTCACATTATTACCATTCATAATCTACCAGTGTGCACCCCCACTTAGAATATTTCTTCCAACTAAAAGGCATGACCAAGCCCAAGAAACTCTCCCACCCCTCTTTGCATCGAAGAAATAGCAATTAGGAAAGTACCAGGCATTAAGCACCAACGCCCACAAGGAATTCGGCTCCATTATCATATGCCAACACTGCTTTGCCAGAAGGGCATCGTTGAACATCTCAAAGCTCCTTAATCCTTAGCCTTCTTCCTTCTTTGACCGACCCAATTTCTCTCGTGATACCCAATGAATTCGATGCTCCCCATCCTTCTGTCCCCACAAGAATTTCGAAATCATGGCATCCAATTCATTGCATAGTGACGTGGGAAACTTAAAAAGGTTCATTGGGTATGCAGGAATTGGTTGCACCACTGCCTTTATGAGGACCTCATGCCCCGCTTATGAGAGAGTTGATTTCTTCCAACCCTGAAGCTTTCCCAATAACATTCCTTTAACATAGGCAAGCCCACATTTCTTCGATCGGCCCCAGATAGCAGGTACTCCCAAGTATAAGCCCGGATCCCTGACTCTTACCATACCGAGAATATCTGCCAACTATTGAGATAATGTCTCAGGCACATTGGCACTGAAGAAGACACTTGACTTCGACTTATTGACTTGTTGCCCCAAAGCCAAACAATAGTCATCAATCACCTTAATTAAGTGCCGGCAATTCTCCTTCTCTGCCTTTAGGAAGCTAAGTGTATCATCTGCAAAAAGTATGTGGGATATAGTCGGGTCCGAGGGGCTCATTTGTACTCCTTTGATCCAGTTCCACTCACATTCCTTCTGAATAAGAAGTGACAGAACTTCACTAACCAAAAGGAAAAGATAAGGGGATAAAGGGTCTCTCTGCCTAAACCCACGTGAAGGAGCAAATTTGGGTCCAGGTTGTCCATTTAGGAGGATAGCAAAATTCACTGAAGATATGCAACCAAAGATCAAGCTTCTCCACCTACTATCGAACCCCATTTTCTCCGTCACAGCCAATAAGAAATCCCACTCAACCCTATCATCAGCCTTGTGCATATCCAATTTGAGAAGTCATTAGGGGGCATATTTTGGAATTTGCTAATTAACTCATTATCCATGGAAAAATTGTCCTCCTGTGTGAACTAAAAATTAAGTATTCAATTCAGTTCCCATTCTCAATCTTTAGCGCATGCATGTCACCCGCCAATCTGGTTGGTTTGCACAGATAAGTGTGGAACCTTCCTATATTATTCTCCCATTTCCTAATTGGTGGGAGGTTTAGTATTACACTCAATTCTTTCTATATTGACGAACAAAAATTAAAAAAGTGCGTGAAAAATAAAAATGAATGTAAAAAGCATTAATTTATAATTTAAATTTTCTCTTTTGTTTTTCCGAAATTTTTTTAGGGTTGTTCGATTTTCTTTCTTCCACACCTAAAACTCATTTTGCTTTGGCACATTCTCACCAGTGCACATGATCCCAGTTTGATGAGAAAATACTCATTTAAACACAAAAGGAAGTAAATATACCACCAAATAGAAAATACTCATATAAACACGGTTTGATTCTTTCTTTGAAAGCTGTCATTTTTTTATTTTTTCAGATCCCAGTTTGATGAGAAAGTTTTGCGTATACGACTCTACTAGGAACACTGCTGCTTGACGTTTACTATGGCAGCAACAGACTCCCTGTTAAAAACTTGATTTCATATCAGGAGGAGTCAAACCTACGACCTTTGGGAACACAAGCACAAGTTCGCCATAGCCACTAGGCTACCCAATGGTGGGTGATTATCATCTTTGAATCATCTAACGTAACAAAGACTTAAGAGTCACTTAGTGCTACAATATAATGATATTTCTCTTCATTGAGATGTCTGAGGTTCAATTATCACCAAAGACAAGTTTGAATCAAATTATTGCTAATTCATTGTGAGGCTAAGCCTACCTCCTCCCCTTAGCGTAGATGATATTGTTTGTTAAAAAAAAAAATTGGTGTGGTAACTGGTAAGCAAGTATACCTCATTTGTGAGGTAATGTGAGATCACAAATGAAGACGTGGGGATAATTGGGCCAAAGGGCAATTTGGGGAAAATAGAACCTTTGAATCCTTAATTGGGTTCACAAGAAAAGTAATAGGGGTTTGTTTAGATCTGGACTCGATGGATGAGCTACTTTGAGTCATTATGAAGTTGAGGCGTGATCAGCGGCTGTGATTCGAGGACATTCTTTAAGGGGACCAGACAAAAGATTTCATGGGGTTATGCAAATACAATCCAAGCCCCACTAGCTGCATATTGCATTGCATATGAATGCGCCCAATCCTTAAGTTTTTCAAAATCCCGACTTTACTTACATTTTGTGTCATTTTCGTACCTAACTTTAATTTTTCTCTTACTTTCATACTTCTGTTAATTTTTCTATCAAAAGTTAAATTAAGTGACGATGTAGTGTTGCTCCACAAAATTTGCCACATTAATTAAGAAATTAATTAAATAATAAATTAAGGATTTTTGTTGTGGTCTGAACAAAATTAAAACTAATGAAAAAAAAGCTCTCTCCCTTTAATTGTCAACCCTATCTAACCTCATATGATCTACCGAAACCCTTATCCCCATTCATAGCATCGACGATTCCTTCTCGGAGTCCGTGACAGCTTTTCTACCCGGGTTCGTGCCCGAGAAGACCAAATCCAAGAAACGACATGACCCCAAAACCCATATTTTGGAAAGCCTATTTCAAGATTCTAGTGCAAGCCAAGGCCAGAAGCAAGTTGACCCAAAGAGGCGATTGGGTCTCGTCACTCGGGTCGTCTTTGCTGACGGAGAGTTTGCGATCGTCATCCTCCTCTAAGAACCATTTGTTTGGGTTAATATTTGAACATTGGGCTACAAGTGTGAAGAAAGCCCAAAAATGCCAACTAAAGGAGGACTCGCCTGAAGCCCAGCACCAGGTCCAAAGACAAGTTGACGTCTCCCCATTAAATGCATAGGCCATGTCTGATAGGAAACTCAACTCACCATCTTTACAGCTTCCAAGATGATTTTGTTGAATGTTGAAGGTCTTGAGGTTATGAATCTTTAAAAATTTGGAATCTATCAATGTGAATATTCAACAATTTCGTGGCACGAACTAGATTTTAATCGATGTGAATATTACACAAAAATACCAAGTACAAGAAGTAGTAATACACTCTTCACACAATGAACCTCATTGGTGATTATTTACATTGCAAACTTCCACATCTACTGTGGTAACATAAAAGCTAGACTTCACAGGCAGTACACGAAATTTCTCTATCACAAAAGCACATAAAAAAGAGTTTCTATCCAAGAAAAGTATTCCTAATGGAATGAAGTTCAGATGCAGCATCATTGATATTCTTTAGTCGATCTGTTGCGGATTCAGCAGAACAAGCAATTCCAATTCTAAATATTGAACTCAAGCACACCTCAACTTTATGAATTCTCGCACTGCATTGATTGGGATTCTCGTTCGTGCCTCCTTGAAGAAGTGGTGCGTCTGCAATCTCAATAACTCGCCCGGGGAGAGCCATCTTGACAAAATTATGAAGGTTCAAGCTATCACCAAACATGTTGTCTGTGGGTCTCTTCCCTGTAAACATCTCCAACAAGAGAATGCCAAAGCTGTAGACATCACCATTCGTTGACACCTCACCCCCCATGCCATACTCTACAATTCGAACATCAAATTTGTGTATAAATAGTTCAGTTTGAATTTTGTAAATTAAATACTCCAAAATAAAAAAGGAAATGTAATGAAGTATATATCTAACATATATATATACCTGGAGCTACATAACCAACCGTTCCTCTTATTCCAACGAAACTTGTCTGACTTTGAATTGTTGAAACATTACTCGTTACTTGTGAGAGAAACCTTGCTAATCCAAAGTCAGAAACATGGCCAGTCAATTCATTGTCCAAGAGAATGTTGCTTGGCTTGAGATCACAATGAACTATTGGCGTTTCACAATGATTATGAAGATAATCCAGTGCACAAGAAAAACCAATGGCAATTTCTAGCCTCTGAAGAAGACTTAAATTCTTGGGTACATGATCTCTTAACTCTTCAGATCCAGTAGGTGGATGCAGCCACTCCTCTAAGCTCCCGTTGTCCATGAACTCATAAACTAGAGCCTTGAAATCATTACCATGAAAATCAACACTTGAACACACAGTTATAATCTTGACGAGATTTCGATGCCTCATATTTCTCAAAGCTTCACATTCGGCTATGAAACTCCTCGAAGCTCCAAGGCGTAACAAGTTAAACACCTTCACGGCAACAAGTTGAGCTTTATCATCATCATCAAGAACTCCCTTGTACACAGACCCAAAACTACCAGCACCAATTAAATTAGCCTCTGAGAACCCGTCAGTAGCTTTGAGTAGAGTAGCATATGACACTTGCAAAATAGTGTTCCCCAAAGTGCTCAATGAAATTTCTTTCCTTTTCTTCCTCGACAAACAAAGAAAGAAATAGGAGAACAGCATGGCTATTCCTAGAAGAGTAAGTCCAAATACTAAAGGGAGTATTTGTTTCAAGCTACGAGACAATCTTCGTTTCTTGGTCTCTTTAGACTTGCACTTGGGAAGCTTTAAATTAGCAACAGGGCTGCACAGATTAGTGTTGCCAACAACTGAGATAGCTCTCGCATTTTTGAAAACACCTCCAGTTGGTACCACTCCCCAAAATTGATTGAATGATAAGTTCAGATTGTTCAGGATTCTAAAGCCTTCTAAAAATTTTGGAATTTCACCTGATAAATTATTGCGAGAAAGGTCTAGATCTTGAATCCCTCTCACTGAACTCATAGACAAAGGAATGGACCCGTTGAAGAAGTTTCCTTGCAAATGCAGGACTTCTAAACTCTCACAACCACCAAGGCTACTGGGGAGTTCTCCAGATAACATGTTATCAGAAACGTCCAGTTCACTTAGACTGAAAAAATTCCCAACCTCCGAGGGAAGGGAACCTGTGAAGAGGTTATTAGACAAGTCCAAATAAATCGATAAGGAGGGTAGTCTAAAAACTTGTTTGGGTATTGTGCCATTAAGAAGGTTATAAGAAAGATTTAACGATTGCAACCCATGGCATTCCCCCAGACCTGAAGGAATGTTGCCCTCAAGATAATTTCCATCCAACGCAAGATGGAATAACTTGGTTAAATTTCTTAAGGAAAACGGGATATTTCCTGATAATTTGTTATTGGAAATATATAATATTCCAAGGTTTGAAAGCTTACCCATGTCAGAGGGGATGTTACCTGTGAAGCTATTATTCCCCCAACGCAACGATTCCAAGCTCACCAGATTCCCTATCCCAGATGGGATGCTTCCATATAGATGGTTATCGTCAACCCAAAACAACTCAAGTTTGGCAGAGAGATTGGATATTGACATGGGCAATGTCCCTCCAAAATTGTTGGTGTTAATGATCAAACTTTGTAACTGGGTGGCATTGGTCAAGTCCGAGAGAAAACTTAAGTCACCATCTTTACCGCTTCCAATATTATTAAATTGAACGTTGAGATGCCGGAGGTTGTGAAGCTTTTGGAGATTCGGTACCGGTCCGATTAGGTTGTTACTCCCAACGTCAAGTTTCCACACACTTGTGACATTGGATATTGAGGCAGGTATGGACCCAGTAAGTTGGTTTGAGGCGACGCTGAAGAATCTGAGATTAGGAAGATTTTTGCCAATTTCTGATGGAATACTCCCTTGAATTTGGTTAAGTGCCATGAAAAATGTAACAAGAGAAGAGAGGTTATAAATGGAGGACGGGATGCTACCAGACAACTGATTTAACCCCAATACCAAGACGGTTAATTTTTTCAATTGGCCAAGAGAACTGGGGATGTTTCCCATCAAGTTATTACCAGCAAGACCTAGCACCTGGAGAGACGAAAGGTTCCCTAAGGAAGGAGGGATATGTCCCGTTACATTATTATATTCTAATGGAAATTTTTGCAGTTTCGAGAGCAATCCAATTTCTGAAGGAATTTTACCCACCAACTTGTTGTAAGTGAAATTCACAAAGATAAGGTTGAAGCAATATGATATATTGTGTGGAATACTGCCACTAAACGAGTTAACATCTAATCGCAATACCTGCAACCTACGCAAATTCCCAATTTGTGAAGGAATTTCATGACTGAAGCTGTTATTTCGCAGCCACAGCTCCCTTAGAAAACTTAGATTTCCAATGTTTGGGGATAATTTGCCTACCAGATTTTGAGATTGCAGGTCCAGGTTAGTGACCCTTTGGCGATGTCGCCGACTGCACGTCACACCATGCCACATGCAAAAGTGCGTGGAATCGTTCCAGGAGCTCATCACGTTGTAATTATGGAGATCTTGCTTTATTTGAGCTTTGATGGCAAGCAGCGCCAGCCTATCCGTCGCATTCCCTCCGAGTCCTGATTGCAGGGAGCTCCAACAGCAATCGAACACTGCACTGAAAAGCAAGTATATTAAGATCAATTTCACAACCAAAACCCCCATTCCTGATCTGGTTAACTATATAAGTAGAGAGAGAAGCAGAAAGAAATAGAGAGATGGGTGTTGAGTTGCGAATTTGGTGAGTTCCAATTGTTACATGATAAGGAAATTTATAGAAGGATAGGATCATAGGAGGAACTCACACCACAGTTTCTGCTTCTTGAAGATTCAAATATGAGTAGGAATAAGTCCAAGTAAATGACAACCACTTTGGCTTGTTTTTTTAGACGACTTCACTACTGGGAACTTTACCCCACAGCTTACTTCCACTACTGGGAACTGTTGTTTGGCACTTTCGGTGAACGCCAAGGACTAAGACCATTAAAGCCCCGTGATTGCAGAAGCTAACTGGAAACATTTGGCAAACACCTATTGTCTGGCACTTTCGGTACGCCAAGGACGAAGACCATTAAAGCACCTTGATTCCAGAAGCTGACTGGAAACATTTGGCAACCATCCAAAATGAAAAAACAAATACATGGAACCCTCTATTTTGGTCACATCAAACATCATGCTGGTGTCACTTAATATGAAAGTTACCTTGCTAGACGACCCTAGCTATGAATGAAAATTTTGAAGTCTCTACTTTTTTTGAGGGGCTGGACTGTGAGATTGCTGATTTTCTCATAGTTCCCCTAAGGTACCATTGCAAGAAAGCTTGTTGTGGATGCAACCTTTCTAAAAATTGTATCATTTACTAGTGAGATCAAGCTTTCTTAATTTTTAACTTCATGGGGGCTCAAGTCTCTAGCAAGAGAATTCCACCACTGTAGACATATCCAGTTATTAACGCCTCACTTTACAGTCCAGAAACCAAAGTAATTCATAATTGTTTTGTCGTCTACTTGTTATCCAATAAATAAATGAACTATGTTTTTCAGTTACATACTGAAATTTTGACAATGGTAATTTAATGGTTAAACGATTTTTTATTTAGTTGATTTTTTTTCAAAGTTGGTCTCCAGAGGATGAACTAGAAAGTATACATGTCCGATCATCTTGCAACATCGCAGAATGAGAGAGAACCGAAAAGGTAGAGCACAAAGGTCCGATTGAGAGGATCCATAACATCCCACATTCAACAAACTTAGGTATGGTGAGTAAATTGCGTGTTTGAGTAGTTTTACATGGCAAGTAATATGGGTTTCAACTGTTATGAATAGTAGAAAAGAGGTACAAAGGCAGTAAAAGAATGAAAAGAATAATGACAATGAGAACCATTGCTTGGTGAATGCACAAGACTATTTCACCCATCAAAAAACAAAAGAAAGAGAAAGAATACTTACTACAAGAATGAAGCATATCAATCAACATTCTATCAAATCTGAAATCTGTACATGTATGGTCAACTGCAAAGCTCAGCATATAGCTGCTGAGTCCACGAGGGGCTGGGATCCGACAATGAATATGTTCCATTTCTACCATTGCTTACGCACGTTAAGTTCAGCTGATTCCCTATCTGGCTCGACTGCAAGATTGGTGCATATATGCATATAAAGAACAATATGTCAGTACAAAACCAATTTATAGTACTAACAAAATACGTTGCAGAAGCAATTTCCTGACACAGAATTTCGCGAGTCATTTCTTAAATTACATTTCTTTAAGGCATTAGACTAAACAGCATGCCAAACTAGAACGACTGAATGCAACCATGATCATATTAATAAGCAAGCACTTCTGTCAATCAAATATTAAGGTGGAAGTTAATATGCGCAGAAAAGTACAGCACATTATCAGACAATAAATATTTTGTGACTTACAATTCCATTTTGATGTAGGGACACAGCTCAAGTAATGACACTAGGAACAGTGGTTGTTTAGATTGACCCCTCGAAAAAGAGTTACCAAGCCAAGAGTATACCTGTCAAAAACATGACTTCTGTCAGAAAATGCCTGCATATACTGATACTACACAAATACGAGGAAAATGAACCTTTATTTCCAATAACAAAACAACAAAGTATTGCCAACACATGCAATCCAAAACAGCAAAGTAGAAGCCGCTATCAACAAAGTGATCAATTAGTATTACAAAGAGAATAGCGATAACACAATGCCTTCTCCAAACCATTCTGATGAGAAACAAGCAGATACAGAGCATCACACATCAACTGTGGCTACCAGATTTTCATGCAGGGAGTCAATTAGGTTCATGAAGTCAAACAGTTGAATCAGACATCGAAGAGGAGCTTACCCAACAATCAATAGTATCAAACAGAGGACCCACAATACATATTGATACGTCTTGCATTTAGATTCAACTGGAGTAGTAACACGTCCAGGGGGAGCATTGTGTTGGGTAAGCCATTTAAACTGGGGGTGGATCAAAAACAAAAATCCAAGAAGAAATCCGGAGACAAATCCTCCAATATGAGCAAAGTTGTCCACATGTGGTAGAATTCCCACTGCTAAGTTATTATGATGATGAAAAGGAGAGTAAGCAATGCTGCTAACTGCAGATCGAAATCTGAAACTGTAAGATCAAAGGGTCGTGCACATACTATAAAGAGGTGCATCATTGAGTATACAGAATTTTATTTACCTTATTTACATACATTGTCCAATTTGATGTGAGCTCTGAAAGCATGCTTCCTAGTAAACCAAAAAGTGCACCAGCAGCACCAACAGAAATACCATATTGAATAAAAAGAGCTGAAAGCAAACTCCCACCAAAACCAGACATGAGATATAGGAAACCAATTCAAACTGCCGAAGAACAAATTCGAAAAACATTAGAATTTCAAACCAATTAGTTAAAACAGTTCATCAAAACAACTGTACATGATGTAGATCCGCATCAAACTATTATTTTTTCAATCTTTTCAAATAGACGGCATCTTGAAACATTTCAAAATGAGGCGCCACGTCTATATGTACAGGATATCTAAAACAACTGTTGTTCCCACAGATGTGATGGAAACTGAAATAATCTCTCAGCTTCTATTTCAAGCAATTTTATTCTGTAAAATGGAATACTATGTCTAAAACTAAAGTTTGAACCCCCATTTTCAGTGTATAAACTCTTTTCTTTGCTCACCGCTGAATAAAATGTCCTCTTGTTTCCATCAAACCAAACAACATACTGGTGTAAGTTATAATGCAACCAGCACTACATGACCACTAGGATTACAATTCAATAAACAAATGCATAGAAATCCTCTGTAGATTAATCGCAAGGTAGCTAAAGCCATCCGGAAAGTGTTTCTCTTCTAGATTTATGAAAAAAGTTTTGCACTTGGTAACTAATTTATTATTCTACAACTTATATCGTGTGCTTTATCTTTTACTACAAACATTTATGGATGTAGCCATACATGCATGATAACATACATGAAGCTAAAAATCCAGATGCATACCAAATCCAAATTCTTGCTCAGGCCAAATTCCAATGAATACAAGACTCAGCATATTGGCAAGCACATGGAAAACTCCAGCATGTAACCACATACATGAGATCAGCCGCCATCCTTGGTGTTGATGAACCACTCTCTGCGCGTCTAGAGAACCCACCTTTTCTAACCTTCAGGATGAAAACACATGAGAAACAAGTTAGATATGCAACTGAGACCTATTGACCCTTATGGGGCATGTCTATAGCTCTTATTTCCAAACAGATGACAGCTCCCTCGCCCTTGTAGTGCTACTTTTAGCAGTTATAGACTTTGGATGATGCATACTGAAATGAGCACATTAAACAGCTTAAAAGAGTGACAAACAAGTCCTTTAAGAATGCACACCCCCTCTTACCAGAGATATTAAGACAAAACAATTTCCATGATCATTCTACCATTGGCCTCACAGACCAAGGAAAGTCAAACGAAAACGAAAATTTTGAAACCAAGTCGCTAAAGAACACTAATGTAAAACTTTAACCCTATAACATACTACAGGGGACATTTTTATTAACATAGCAATTTAATCAAACCAAGTAGTTAACTACTGCACCTCTTCGAGAACCTTTCTTCTTTGCTCAAGCATTTCTGATACGCCGACATCAAATAGACATCAAGCATGGCCTGAATGTCACTAAATACCTAAAACCCTCATTACCCCTCAAGCTTCATGCAGTTCAACTATTTTCTTTACACATATCTAATATAACCAAAATTCCAAATCCACCAAGTCTCAAAATTTGTCAAAAAATTTGTAAAAACATAACTTTCACAATTACTCGTACCTAAAAAGTCTCAACCTTGATTGATCCCACTCTAATTTCACAAAAAAAAAAATAAAACCAGTCAAACTATCCAACCCTCCTCGTCATTATTTCACCAAAAACACACAAACAAAAGAAACTTACATGAAATGGGACCGCCACTGCGTCAGTTCCCCACAATCCACAACTAAAATTTTCCAAATTTCCACATGCGAGCACCCAACAAATCCCAAAACACAAATTTCAATCCAAAACTGCAAACCCCAACAATTTTAAACATAGAAACTAACAAAAGAGTGAAGCTTTATGTGGTTGAAAACGGCCCAAGAAGTGGGTTTTCCTTGAAGAGCTGAAAGGAGAGGCGATGAGATTTTCAACGGAAAGGACTCCGGATCCCTTCCACCAAATTCACAAGTTCGGATCCGGCACTTGAAATTTGATCCAATCTATTATAGTTTTTATAGTGGATCCTGGTTGTAGTCGTTGGATCAAATTTCAACAACCCGGATCTTTGAACTTGGTGAATTAAGTGAAAGGGAGCCGGAGAGGATACTTTTCCATTTTCAACCACTTTCATCACACCACGTGTCATTATCTATTAGTAATATCAGCTCAGATTTTTGTTTAAGTGTGAACTTTGTAAGTTTTTTAGATATTTTTTGTTGTAAATTTTTTTTGGATTTTTTACCATGGGATTAATCCTGACCGTTGAATTTTTCAAAATTTTAATATCAAATACGCCACAAAATGCCACGTGGCACAACATCATCTTTTAAATTTCTTTTATCGTTTGAAATGTAATGGTCCGGATCAACAAACTGTTGCAAATCCAACAGCTGTGGGGCGCCCAAATTGGAGCATTTTGGTTCACTTTGGTGCATGGGGTTAAGGTCAGCCTTCTGTTACTTGACGTCAGGCCCGTCGTTACTTATTGCCAACGGGCTACAAAGGAAGTTCAACGAGCTTCTTGGAGCCCACCAATTGCCTGCCCAATTTGGCACCAACGGACCATCATTTTTTTGGTCAAGGGCAATTTAACCCAATTGCCTGGTGGATTGGCAAGAATTATGATGAGCATAGTAGAATTTTCAGCAATGGAGTATATATACACCTAAAATAGTCAAGAAGCTGTATAGTGTCTTTTGTTTGAACTTATAATTTATACAAAAGTTTTATTCGAAATAATGTTAATTGTCAGATAATATGAAATGCAACATTGTCAAACCAACGACGGACTAGTTAATTTTAAGATCAATTTTAGAGCGACCCCTCATAAAGCTTTACTTATAGTTGTACTTTTGTTGTGGGTGGGGTTTTTGGCGAAGTCCTCCCCTATTTGGTGCAGTTCATTTAACGGGGAGCTTCATTGAATCACAATAATATGCAGGGGTACAAAATGATTGAAAGGAGTTGTCACACCTCGATCCGGACATACGTCCAGGATTAACACGTGACGTCACCAAGTATAAGTATATCTAACATACCCCGCCTTCGGGATATGTACAAAGCATAAATCAAGATTTGAATTGCGTAGTAATTTTAGTATACTTTATGGCTGCATCTAACCTCCTCGTTAGACTGCCTACGTACCGTAAAGGGATCAAGCCATTCGTAGTTTACCATTTCAATAAACTCCTATCACCACTGCAAGTCATTACTACATACATGCAATCAGAATAACTAATAGAAACGGTATACTTTCTTTGTATAGCTTGTCTAGGCATATGAGACATATATATATATATATATATATAGACATGCATATAGACATTTACACTGACATCCATTGTATAATTTAAGCAAACAACATGATACGTATAAACGTGAAATACTTAATCGAAAAGTAACCACACCAAATTGGATCTGTCAACTATTGATATCTATACCAGCCATAATAAATTGATCTTGAACTCATAAACATAGTAATGTATTCAATTAGAGAATATGTATAATGTTTGATAATCCATTAATCTTAACCAAGGAACTAGTTCTCAGGCCATAGAATAACATGAAATCCCTAAACTATAACATTCATATAATTATTCGTAACTAGTACACTAGCCCAACCATATCAACGATCCTTAACTATTATTATAGAAAAACCAAACTGTTTATTCAAGTGCCTGAAAATAAAAATGTAAATTCCTAGCAGTCTTAAGCTCTTCATCCGCTGAAATAATGAAATAAAGAACCACCAATAAATCCACAGCCCAAACAAGAGTCATATAATACTCTAATAATAGCATTGTCCAATCAAATATTCTGCATCAGCATCTGGCAATGCCATGGGAAGAATATAGAACCATTCAGTAGTTTTAGAACTCTAATTAACTGCACAAACCTAGGCTGCAACACATACAATTTCAGCAATGTTCTTTTCAGTGCATAAAGGGTAGGACAAATATGGCACACAAAATATTCCAACGTATCTGGCCTCGATTATGGAATAACATTAATGTTTATAACGCAAACCCAACCCTTAAATTTCTAAAGAGAACAGAATTGAGGTTAGGATTTCAATGTTCTTCCCTATAGCAACCAATCATGACTACCCGGTTCCGATTCAACTCCTAAACAATACAACAAGCATCATCTCAAATATGCATACAAAATATCGAATTAAAATTCGAAACCATGAATTGACCCCAAAACTAAAAGTTAAAACCTTGGGAAAATACTTACGCTAGAGGAGACCCCACGAGGGGAGAATCATTATTTTCACTTGGGTCGAGCCAGATTCCAGCGGGATTGCCCGAAATCAGAGAAAAGTCGCCGGAACACGTCAATATGTTTGGACCTCGTTTTCTTTATACAATGGTTTTCAAAGGGTGGGTATGGTAACATTGAAGACGGCCTCGCTACGAAACTATAGCTTCCGACCTCATGTGATTTCGTTATCGTATGAGGAAATTATGATGAAAATAGTTTCAAAGGGATCCCGTGAGTGAAGGAGGAAGAAGAAGAAAAGTTTCTTTCCCCCCTTCTACCCCTTTCCCTTCTTTTCGTTTCTTCCCGATCCTCCTCCACCTCTCATCATTTGTTTTCTCTTTTTTTTTATTATTATATTGGGTATTGTTATTAGCATTCTAAAAATCTCATTCTACACCTTCAAACTTTTTATATTTGGAAAGAAAAATACACTTATAAGAAATGTAGAATGAGATTTTTGAAGTGCCAATAACATTTCCCATATTTTATTCTATCATTAATATTTTAGATCTAGTGTTATTATCTTTTCCATTGCTTTAAATAAAACGATTTATATATGTTTCGTAAAATCTTTATTCTAGTTCTAATTTTTGTTATGTTTATGATCAATCGCGTTTTGCCCTAATTATATGAGGGTGGTGGTGGTTAGAATTCAATTTAACCCCATACGTTTTGGAGGTTTTCATTTAATCTTGCAAACATGCATACTTAAGCAAAATATATCCCACTAAAAATAAGTATATTTAGTTTTGTTAAGACGATATTATAAGCTATATAACTTACGAGAGAATAATTTAAACTTAAATATAAAAACGTGACAGATACATGGCTTGTGTTTAGGGTTATTTCTGTCATTTTAAGATCTTTTAACAAGTTTTTACTTTTCTTTAGTAAAATCCTTAAATTTTGTGTTAGAGAATATTCATGTGGATAGTTGTGTTCAAGTAACGCATATGCATCTACAAACTGCATCTATACGTTTTGGAGGTGCAACGGGTTGGTGATTTGTAGGTGGCCAAAATTCTTGACTAGGCATGGCATGGATATAAGGAGTACTGTAGGCTCTCACGTATGCTGCTTTCTTGTAACAAGAATGAACATTCTTGTATGGATCGTCCTCCTTTCTATAGATTGCAGCAATTCCATGAGCACAAGGAATTCCAGTGAGACCCCACCTTCTACATGTACATGTGTGTATTGCTAAATCAACCTCTTGACCCCAATATTGCACTATTAAAAGATTCACATAGATTATTTAACAAGATATCACGCTTAGATTATGTGTTCAGCAGTTGGAATAAGGTGCTTCACAGCTCGAGAAACCAAGTTCAAGTTCTTCTATCTTCAATTTCAACAATTGCACGTGCTACTTGATACATGCCATCATTGTTGGCATCTATACAGTGGCAGCAAGCAATTGGCCTGGATTTGGGCTTTCCAAAAAGCCGTTGTGCAAAGGAAAATTAATAAAATGGATTTAAAAACTTTAAATTTTAATAAAAAAATTATTTACTAACTTTATTTAATGATTAGAACAAAATCGAAACCAAACCAGCCCCAATAAAACTAGGCGAAGCAGTGAGTTTCCCGTTTGCTTGGACCATTATCCTTTTCTATTTTGCTATTTTCTCATTTTATAAGCCCGGTATGATCGTGAACGACGGCGAGGGCGCCACCCTCGTGACCACAAGGAAGTGAAGGACGAGGAAGAATTCGAAAAGCTCGGGTCGATCCTGACCAGTCTTCCACCGATAACCAGAGTTGCAGATGGTTCTGACCATCATTAGAGATGGCTTGAAGATCGACTGCAAGAGGTACCAGAAGATGGACAAAAAACTGGGGTTTTTCCATCAAATCTCTTATATTATTTAGAATTGAGTTTTTTATGATCTTGGATTTGTGCGTTGCTGATTTGGATTCGATAAATTTTTTCTTTTATGTGCAACTCTTATCTGGATTTTGCTATAGAATCAAATTAACCGAGATTTGTATGAAGGTCTGTGTTCTTATTTGAGATTAATAGGAGGCCGGCCGAGATCCTGCTGATGGCTAATTTCCTTAAATTAGAAGCTTTTATTCGATTTTTGTTGATTATTTTTTCATTTTTTTCACTTTTTCTTGTATTTTTTTCTCTCTGCTGAGTGATTCAGTTGGACATAGGAACATCATGAAGGACAAAGAGCAGAACCCAGGTGCCATCTCTCTCTCTCTCTGTTTCTCTTTCTCTCTTTTATTTCCTTAAATTTTGCTTCATTTCTTATTTTAATTTTATTATTTATTGTCCATATAGTTGCCGAGGAAGTATGCAATTGCAAATTTAATGAACAATTTGAATATTCTTTTAGTTATGTAAATTATTGTTTTCTTTTTGTTAATTTACTCAAAATTTGCTTAGGGAAATTTAGTTACTGGTGGAATTGATTGAATGAATTGATGGCCTATCAAAGAAATCACAATTTCTGCAAAATTAACTGCAGTCTAATTTATGTGAAAATAATAATAGTGGTTGTTAACTTGAGCAGCAGGGCTTGCTCAACTCATAATTGTGGGTCAGCAAGATGATCGGGCAGAGCCCGCTAAGGAAAGTTGTACACTGCCAGTGTTTGTGAATTCCGAACCAATGAGGGAGGAACAAGTGCAAAATGCTGTGAAATTCCTTTCACACCCGAAAGTTAGGGGCTCTCTCTTGTTGTTTACAGACGGTCTTTTCTCGAGAAGAAGCCTCTCACAAAAGAAGAGATTGACGAAGCGTTTCGGAGTGTGCCTGTAAGTAAATTGATTATTGGTGGTCAAGCCGATTGTTAATTTAATTCTCAATGTTTTCGTGTTGACATTGTTTGTTTGCAAATTGCATCGTGTGGAGTTTCATGTTCAGGTGCACAGTTGTGTATATCATTGAGCCATTTAGGCAATTCATTAGGTTTAAGAGAGAAATCGATCTCTTGGAGTCGAAATGTGAAACCCCGTTTTATACATTTTTGTAGAACATGTTGGTTGACTAAAGAGTCACCAACCATTCATGTGGGTATGAAATTTTGATTAGGTTGAAGATCTTTTACACCGCCTCATATTAATAGGGAACAAAATATCGGTAGACATTGAAAGTTAATCAGTTTTTTTTTTTTTTTTTTTTTTTTTTTTTAATGTCAAGTTCTTTGTCTTTGTTCATATTTCATCTTGAATATGGAAACTCTCTTATATCTTCCTTTTTCCTATATAGCATGTGTATTGATACATTGATGAGCTTGTTCTTATATCGTTAGGTGTTTGAAAGGTTCACTAAACCATTGTGCATTCTACTTGAAAATTACGATGGCGTCAATTTGTTATTGGTGGAAAATTTTGGAGAAATTTATGTCTAGTTCCTGAAGTTTTCTTGTACTTGATTTTTGAGCCTGTGAGCGACCCCTAGTTTAGTTTGCAAAGGTGAATCAAGAAATAGACAAAATCCGTTGTCTATTTTCTAATTCTAAACATGGGCACTAGTACAAACCCCCCATGTAGTAACCTACCAAAAAGTATTTTCTCTTCATCCACATAAAATAAATATTGAAATTATTCTGATTCTTGAATTTCCTGTGCTTCTGCGTACATTTATGCACATAATGGATCTTTAATCTAGTACACGAAATCATGTCAACCAAGGGGGCATTGATATGAAAATTGAACCAAAATTGTGAAACTGAGCTAAAATAACCCACACTATTTTTAAAACTACAACAAAATTACACACTATTTCAAAAAACTGAACCAAAATAACTCACAATATTTCTGGAATAGAACAAAAAAACATTGTTTCTGGAACTACAACAAAATAACCACACTATTTATGAATCTGAACCAAAATAATCTACACTATTTTTGTAACTACTGTAAAATAACCACACTGTAAAATAGTAGCCTAGTTCTTAGTCCCCTTTCATAAATAGTGGCCTAGTTCTTGTTCCACTTTCATAAATAGTGGCCTAGTTCTTGGTCCAGTTTCATAAATAATGCCTAGTTCTTTGTCAAGTTTCATAAATAGTGTATAATAATTGGTACAGTTTCATAAATAGTCTCTTTCTTGATCTAGTTCCATAAATAACGTTTATTTCTTGGTCTAGTTTCATAAAGAGTTTCCACTTATTGGTTTAGTTTTAGAAATAGTGTCTCGTCCTTGATTTGGTTTCATAAATAGTGCCTCCTTATTGGTCCAGTTTCATAAATAGTGCCTAATTCTTGGTTCACTTTCATAAATAGTGCCCTGGTTCTTGGTCCAGTTCATAAATAGTGCTTAGTTTTTGGTCCACTTTCATAAATAGTGGCTAGTTCTTGATCCAGTTTCTTAAATAGTGGCTAGTTCTTGGTCCAGTTTCATAAATAGTGTAAAGCAATTGGTATAGTTTCATAAATAATGTCTCTTTTTGGGTCTAGTTTCATAAATAGTGTCTACTTATTGGTCCAATTTCATAAATAGTGCCTCCTTATTAGAAGGAGGATTAGAATGACATACCCTGATAAAAAAAAATATATACGATCAATAATGGTACCATTTGACAATTTGACAACATAAGCATCTAGACATCCTAGTAGTATGCATATATCCCGGATTTAACTGATTCGTCCTTTTAAATATGGCTAAAATAACAAAGACTTGTAACTCAATTAGTTGAAAGCATTCACATTTACTCTTAGAAACTCGAGCTCCTCCCTCATTATCTATAGTAGAAGACAGAAAAAAGGATATGGTGAATGGTGAAAACTATAATTCATACATGATTGTGTTTACTATTTGTTATAATTATACACCAGGTTTATGTCCTTGTAAATGTAAGGGTGGTTTTTTTATTAAAATACTCTTGGTTCAAGCCATTTTCGTTAAAACGTTTCTTCCTACATCAGTTCTCCTTCAAATAATCAAAAAAAATAAAATAATATTTCCTCTCCTCTTCTTGATGGACGAAAAACAAAAGTAACATAATTTCTTTTTTATTTCTTTATGCAATTGATCTTCTTCAACATGAAATCCCAAGTTATGTGGATTGTAGTAGAAAAAGAGAGACATGTGTTTGTACTTTATGTTGCTCATATAATTAATTTAGTGCGATAATATATCAATTAATTTCATGTGATTTGAAAAAATAATAGGGTGAGAGCATGCCATTGGCTTGGCACATGGCAGTGTAGCCACAAGTAGAAATGTGTAAGCATTCATGCCAACCCTAATCAGGCTAACTCTTTGTTGAGTAAGTTTATTCTGATTTTTCCCACAATATCTATATGTGAATAAATTAGATATGAAGAGCTTGGTGTGGTAGAACAACCGTTGATGCAATAGCTATGTTGGAATCTTTGACACAAATTGCATTTCAATGTGATGACAAAAGAGATGAAAGCAGAACAGAAGGGACCTAATTAAGCAAATTCAAGTGGTTGTCAAGCCTTGTTTAAGGTGGTTTTTATTTAAATTAATGTTAGTTCAAGCCTTTTTCATTAACGCTTCATTTTTCTTTTTACTTGAAGAATTGCGAAGTATCAAATTTTTAGTATGATTTTGATGCATTTTTGGTTCATTTGTTTTCAGGTTGTTGCTAGTATGTAACAAGGCGACTTGAAAAGCTGCAATCTAAGACAACTAATTCGTTGATGTAAATCATAATTTCATGGGATATTGCTGCTATGCAATTTTAATTTGATGGCAGTTTACATCTCTAAACTAAGAAATTAATGGGAAAATGTCCTATAGTGGATGGTTGAGTAATTTAGTGGAAAGAAAGAATTTAGAAAAAATAGGACGGCAGTAGTAATGATGGCAGAAAAAATATTATTTGATGTACGAAACCATTACGAACTCATGCCAATTGCGCATACAATTGCAGTACAACAAGACAAATTAATGGTGGTGGTTTCGTGGTGGCGTAGTTCTCCGTCAAAAATGGCGATGGTGGTTGCCTTGCTCGTTCTGTGCAGCGAGCACAGTATCAAGAGAGAGAGAGAGAGAGAGAGGTGAGGGAAATCGGGAGAGTGGTAAAGAGGGAGTGAGACATGAGGGTGGTGGCAAGGTGGTGCCTCGAGGGAGTGGCGAGTGAGGTGGTGATGGTTTCTCGAACGGGAGATTGATGGTGCACTAGAGAACTTGAGTCCTCTCTCAGTTTGGTATCTGGGGAAGAAAACCAAACAAAGCTATGCATTAGCAAAGTTTGAAATGAGGGTTTTTAATCTTTGGCATGCTATTGCCTTTATTTGATCATTCTTTGAATAAAATTCCGATGGACAAGTGAAATAAACTGAATGAAAACTTGGAGAAGAAGTTCTGATTTTTAATATCTTCAGTCGGGGATTATTGTGATGTCTTTTGACAATCGAAATGTGAATGCATTATGTTGCTTAGAACACAAGTCAATATTTTTTAAAATGGAACAAAAGTATCTAGACTCGAGTTTTGCTAAAATTGTTTTGTAGATTTCATTATAGTTAACAAAAAATAAACTTATGAAATCTCAATTATGATTGTTCATGTGCCCCTACTGAGAAATGTTAGGTATGATGGATGCTATAGATAGAAAAATGTTGGCTTAAGGTTGGATTCCAGGTAAATATGTGCTATCCCGGATGATGGAATTGCATAGCATCATAAGTTTCTATATTTTCCTGAACAGATTTACTGAAAATGTTTTTCGAGGATATTCAACAAGAACTTTGATCTTTAAATTTTCTCATTGTTGCAGTCTCTTATGGTTTAGTTAATCCTATTAGCCTATTGTTAGGTCAATTAAGAGAGTGTTTTAGCCTTCTGTTAGTGTTTTGTCTTATATACTTTCTCATTGTTAGATCAGTTGTGATTCTGTGTAGTTCATGCTTCCAAGTGTAAAATTGTTCATACAATCTCACTTTTGCATCTAATTAGTGAGCCAAAAAGAAAATTTTTAACATTTTAAATCCTAATTATCTCTATTTCAGCCAATGCATATTTTTTCCACCTAAAAGTCTTTGATGCATGTCTTTTTTCTAAGTATTGAAACATACATTGTTCGAAATTTGTTGAGCACTTGAAACTTTACAAGTTAAGACTAGGAATTTTATGATATATGATAACTGTTTTCTATGTTTGTTGTTGATTAAGCATGTGGGATACAACTCGGTCTTAGACACTTAATAAAGATTTATTGTTTGAAATTAATGGGGCACAGGTTATTCTCATGATATTGGCTGCAAATGCTGCAGTAGGAGTGATTACAGAAACCAACGTTGAAAAAGCTCGAGGTAACTTTTACATTTATATCATTTCAGAATTCGCATAAATACCAGAAAACATCTTGAAAGACTACCATTTCAAGCGGATCTTTTCTTTCATGCGGAAACCAAGCTTCCTTTTTCTTAACTCATTTTACTAAAGCTTCAAATTATGTTCAATTTGTTGATTGGCTGTTAGCACTTAAGTTGATCTATTTATTTCCAATGTACCCTTTTTTTGTGCATGAATGCTTTTCTGTTGCATGTTTAGAAGATGAATGCATGAATGCTTAGGTAACCTTCTTTTTGTTATGTGATGTAGGACATAGTAGGACAGCTGAAATTAGATTGTATAGCGGAAGTGAAAAGACATAAAACTTAAATTGAAACAAAGTTTGGGAACCATCCTTTCCATTTATGCTTCTGTTTTATAGGACTGGGGGATAAAAACAGTATAGTTCGTTGTTGCATGTTTCATTAATTCAAACTTTCAAATATACACTCTCTTCATTATGCACAGTATGTTGATGTGAAGTGAACTAAATCTAAATAATTTGCGTCTTTATGTCGAAAATATTCATAGTATGTCCTGTGTTACGGTTTCAAAACCTTAAGCGACGCGTGGGCAATTTTTCTAGTTCAAACTAAACAAAGAACCAAATTAAAAACCATTCAATCTGAAAGTGAAACGCCATTCCATCAAATAAGAAAGCAAACAAACATAGAAAATGGGACTAGCTACAACTAGAAGAATCAAATTTCTCATTGTCATAGATAGCCATAATAAATAATTTCATCCAACTTTACCATAGATTGGAGGGCTCCCAGTGACTATATTATTGAGCCGTCTTCAATTCGAAACACACACAAGCATCATTGTTCTCCTTTTTGAACGAAAACTCTCAGATCACGTATCGTATATCAGTCCCTTTTTGTGGCTTTAGAAACCTTATAATTATTTTGATCGAATGCAACTTAATAGAAGGAAGTGGGGTGTTAAAATGACAGAAATAACCCTATAAACAAGTCATGTGCCTCGCACATGACTTACCTTGGCTGAAAAACTTAACGGAGTTAGGATGAGATGACAAATTAATGATTTCAAAAAGTTGGTATAGCAAATTGCTTAAAATTTTAATTTATATGACAAAATGAAAAATATGTACAAATTTATTCGACATTTCAAAAATTTTCCCTTTTCTTAAATATTTACATCTACTAAAACTCAGCGGATGGGTAGTGTTCATTAACAGTGCCCATCCGGTTTTACCCCTTATTCTCTTCATGTGTTTTAGGCTTTAGTGGGTTTGTATGATGAATTGGCCACTTTGCCCCTCTCTCATTTTTGTTCCCGTGCGTGCGTTTTGTGTGGGAAGATGCTTCCAGCATCTTTCATTTTTCACTTTCCTCTTTCTTTTCTTCTCTCTGTCTTTCCGTTTCCCTCTATTTCTCCGTTTGTCTTTCGGTTTTGATTCCAATCGGATTGTGTGGAAGGGTGTTTGGCATGTTTTTCTCGCTGTTTTCCACGAACGAATCGCTCTGTTTCAGGTGTGTTTGTTCATGCGTTGCTTTATTTTCTGTTTGGTTAGGAAGAAATTTTTTTAATTGATTGTTGTAAAGTTCGGCTCTTCACCTATTTTGCTCAGCGTTTTTTTCTATTTCTTCGTGTTTTACATCTGGTTCTTTCGTTTGATTTCGTTTATGATTTGATTAAATTGTATTTTTTTCCATAAGAAAGATTTGCATGCCGTAGGGAAACAATTGGCTGAAATTTATTACACCAATCATTGCTCATATATAAGTTTAAGAACTTAATTACTTTTCATTTCTATAGGTCCTTCATAGATTTTTGGAGAACTATTGTATAAGTTTAAACGGACCAGTATGCAAATCATCCTTGCCTGATATAGTGGGTAAGAGATATTATTGTGTGCTTTTGATGTTGGATGGCTTTTTTGTGTTTTCTTGCCTCTCTCTCTCTCTCTCTCTCTCTCTCTCTCTGACTCACTCACTTAAACTGCAGCTAAGGCACCCAAAAACGAGAGAGATGATCTACTGCTGAGTGAAGAATTTATTAGAAATTGTGTGGAAATGTTCTCTGTTCCAGCAAAGGGGAATGAGACAAACTTGCGAGCTTTTTCCCTGAAGCATCTTAATTTAATAGCCACTAAAGCAGGACAACAACCTTGGGCGAAGTGTCAGCAGAAGTATGCATTCTCTCTCTCTCGGTCGCATGCTGTTGTGGAGTTTTATCATTGTATGATTGATGGGTTTTCCACAGGTAACTTCTATCGAATATGCAGTGCTTTTAAATATGGAGCTCGCAAGCTTGGTTAGATTCTTTCATTCAGAAGAAAATTGTGGGTGACGTTGATCTTTGCAGTTTACACTCAGTGTCCATAGCACAAGCAAAAAGTGACAGTTGGAAACATAATTATTCAGTCATATAACCATTATCCAAGCCTCCTTAATGCTATTCTCAATGCTATTGTCTTCTTATTGCAGAGAAAATTGCTGCGGTGCTAAGCTAGCATACAACATCTTTATTGTCGTAGATGAACGCCAAACCAATTCTCTTAACTAGCAGGTATAGAAATAATACTCTTGACAACACTAATATAAATCATTGTACATTTATGATTTGATTAAATTGTATTTTTTTCCATAAGAAAGATTTGCATGCCGTAGGGAAACAATCGGCTGAAATTTATTAAACCAATCATTGCTCAAATTCGAAGTTGGCAACAAAATAATTTTTCATTACATGCACAATAAATAGTGCTAAAGTGCAAGAAAAAATAGGGTTCAATTCCTATTAATTCTCAATTCTTTTTATCCAAGCCGCTATTAATCTTAATTTTTCATTTGTTTGGGCTTTATAGTACCCATACCAAGAAGACTAGGCTCACTCATGCTAATATGCTTTCTCTTTTGTGTTTGGCCAAATAGATAATGATGCGTGGTAATGGATATGTTTGTCAAACACAATAAAATGGAGTCCTTGGAATGGATTGCCTCACATATCGCTCAATTTTATGTCTATTCCCAACTTAATCCATCCTATACTTATATTTTTATGCAATTTTACAACTTCTTTCAAAATTAGTTTTCCTGAATTTTTTTTTTATAATCTTCATTACTTCTTTGTTTTGCAATTTTAGGAAATGAAACAAAAATAGCTAATTCAGCACCAAAGTTACACCTTCAACAAATACGTTTTAAAGAAATGAAGGTACAAACATTGAAAGGCATGTAAAATTAATTAACGCTTTATTAACTTTATTTTACTCATGTTTTACATTTAATTACAATTTTTACTAAGCTCTCTCTTCGAAGGAATTAGCTATCACTAATATATATCCAAACTATCTTCTTTTCACATGATCTAAATACATGACAGATTATTTGCTTGCACACTGAAAGGTTAGATCGAACATCCAAGAGTATAATACTAGACGTTTCCACTAGAGATATACCCGCTTCACATATTTTAATCTAATATATTTTTTCACAGATATAGAAAATACGGAGAGTATATCTTTAGTGAAAGCATGCCTATTTATACTTTCGAACATTTGTCTTCAACGTATCAATGAACAAACAGATACTTGGCCATGCATTCAGAATATATTAGAAGAAGAAAGTGTGTAAATTGGTAACAACTAATTCATCCGAAGCGAAGACGGAAATGATGATTTTTTCTCCGATAATGAAAATTGAGATTACCAATCTTGATAAATCTGATCCGTCTTAAAATTATATTGTTAGCAAATTCGCTGCTATTTCACGATAATATGATTTGCATAACTTTTCTCACTCTTATATAACGCTATCACTAAATACATTTTATTCGATGAGACACCAATTTCCATCTTTGTTGTATTAAATTACAACAAACTTAGCTTTTCTGGTATTGATCAAACTAAGACGATCAAAATACATTATCCAAATTCTGAACCCCAGGTATGTCTCCAATTTCACTTACTCTTTATTTCTCAATACATTTGTTTGTGTTACACAATGTTACGTTGCTCCAAAGTTTTATATGTATAAATTATGCTCAATCTATTTTAATAATTTTTTAGTTGTTAATATCTATGTACGTTCACATCCCACAGCAATGCGTTGGCATCACTTCCTAGTGAAACCTATTTTGCACAACCACTAACAAATTGTTTGCACCTTTACGCAATCTCCATTAGAAAAGCCACAAGTTTCTCAATCAAGCAAATTGGCATCATAATATCCAAGGGGTGCAAATTAGCCCTCTCTTTTTTTCTTTTCTTTTTCATTTTCTTTTTTTTCTTTTTTTTCCTTTTCTTCATCTAAAATACACCAAGAAGCAGGTGGAGCTAGCACCATCGCTGTCTGTCCGAACATCAAATGCCTCTTTCTTTTTCTTCTGCAAAACGGCCAAAGTACCCAGATTCTTCTTTTCTATAAAAAGCTTGCTACAGACCAACCACCACAGAGTGTTAATGTTTGCCATTTTATTTATTACCATTGGGTGAGTTTAAATTTTGAGATTTGTATTTATCTAAAGTATTAAACTCATATAACGGTGATAAATAAAGTAATGAACATCACCATCATTTGAGTGTGGAGAACAAGAATATTCCTATGATATTGTACGCAAAAGGGAAAAATTTCCTAATTGCAAAAGCAAAATAGAGAGGTAATAATTAGAGGGTTTTTACGCTCTTAATGGTATTTAATTTGCTTGGTAACGAGAATTATTTGGTAGTCAGTCACCTACAGCATGCATGCAAATTGGAGGAGACAATACATGGACCAAATTACACCACCGTATCCTTTGGAACTTCACTTATAGCCCCATGTTCACTTGGAAGACATGAAAATTATGAACAAAATTGTTTTTTCTCCTAACCATGACAAATTTGTAACTCAATCAAGTTTATTTGCTTTGATAATTAATATTTTGGGTGACAATTTTTGATGAGATTCATTAAATACTAACAATTAGTGGACGATATTAATCGGAGTGCGTAAAAGATAGGGCAATAAGTTAAAAGGCGAGTGACACAACTATAAGTCACATTATCGTGACTTTGAGTAGAGTAGCATATGACACTTGCAAAATAGTGTTCCCCAAAGTGCTCAATGAAATTTCTTTCCTTTTCTTCCCTGACGAACAAAGAAAGAAATAGGAGAACACCATGGATATTCCTAGAAGAGTAAGGCCAAACACTAAAGGGAGTATTAGTTTCAAGCGACGAGACAATCTTTGTTTCTTGGTCTCTTTAGACTTGCACTTGGGAAGCTTTAAATTAGCAACAGGGCTGCACAGATTAGTGTTGCCAACAACTGAAATAGCACTCGTATTTTTGAAAACACCTCCAGTTGGTACCACTCCCCAAAATTGATTGAACGATAAGTTCAGATTATTCAGGATTCTAAAGCCTTCTAAAAAATGTGGAATTTCACCAGAAAAAGTATTGCGAGAAAGGTCTAGATCTTGAATCCCTCTCACTGAACTCATAGACAAAGGAATGGACCCATTGAAGAAGTTCCCTTGCAAATGCAGGGCTTCTAAACTCTCACAACCACCAAGGCTACTGGGGAGTTCTCCAGATAACATGTTATCAGAAAGATCCAGTTCACTTAGACTATGGAAATTCCCAACCTCCGGGGGAAGGGAACCTGTGAAGAGGTTATGAGACAAGGCCAAAGAAATAGATAGGGAGGAGAGTCTAAAAACTTGTTTGGGTATTGTGCCATTAAGAAGGTTGTAAGAAAGATACAACGATTGCAACCCATGGCATTCCCCTAGGCTTGAAGGAATGCTGCCCTCAAGATGATTTATATCCAACCCAAGATGGAATAACTTGGTTAAATTTCTTAGGGAAGACGGAATATTTCCTGATAATTTGTTATTGGAAATATCTAATATTCCAAGGTTTGAAAGCTTACCCATGTCAGAAGGGATGTTACCTGTGAAGCTATTATTCTCCAAATACAACGTTTTCAAGCTCACCAGATTCCCTATCCCAGATGGGATGCTTCCATATATTTGGTTACTGCCAACCCAAAACATTTCAAGTTTGGTTGAGAGATTGGATATTGACATGGGCAATGTCCCTCCAAAATTGTTGTCGTCAATAATCAGCCATTGTAACTCGGTGGCATTGGTCAAGTCCGAGAGAAAACTTAAGTCACCATCTTTACCGCTTCCAATATTATTATATTGAATGTTGAAACGCAGGAGGTTGTGAAGCTTTTGGAGATTCGGTACCTGTCCGATTAGGTTGTTACTCCCAACGTCAAAGAGCCAAACACTTGTGAAATTGAATATTGAGGGAGGTATGGACCCAGTAAGTTGGTTGATGCCGAAGTTGAAGATTTCGAGATTAGGAAAACTTTTGCCAATATCGGATGGAATACTCCCTTGAATTTGGTTACCTTCTATGGAAAATGACCCTTTTGTTTAATTTCAGAAATAGTGTGTAATTTTGTTGTAGTTTCAGAAATAGTGACTTATTTTGGTTCTGTTTCATAAATAATGTGGGTTATTTTGGTGTAGTTTCATAAATAGTGTGAATTATTTTGGTTTCGTTTCAGAAATAGAGTGAGTCATTTTGGTTCAGTTTCAGAAATAATGTGTAATTTTACTGAAGTTTTAGAAATAGTGTGAGTTCTTTTGGTTTAGTTTCATAAATAGTGGGTTATTTTGTTGTAGTTCCAGAAATAGTGTTTATTTTGTTCACTTCAAAAAATAGTGTGGGTAATTTTGCTATAATTCTAGAAATATTATGAGTTACTTGGTTTAGTTTCAAGAAAAATGTTCGTTATTTTGTTGTAGTTTTAGAAATAGTGTTTATTTTGTTCATTTTCATAAATAGTGTGAGTTTGTTTCATTCAGTTTCATAAATAGTGTAAGTTATTTTGTTGTAGTTTAAAAATAGTGTTTTTTTTCTTTCCAGAAATAGTGTGTTATTTTGGTTTAGTTTTCAAAAATAGTATGTGTCATCTTGCTGTAATTTCAGAAATTGGGTTATTTCGATTCAGTTTCAGAAATAGTATGTTTCAAAAACATTGTTTATTTTGTTCATTTCCAGAAATAGTGTGGGTTATTTTGTTGTGGTTCTAGAAATAGTATGAGTTAGTTTGGAACTGTTTCAAAAATAGTGTGGGTTATTTGGGTTCAATTTCAGAAATAATGTGGATTATTTTGCTGTAGTTTCAGTGAGAACATATCCGAAGCACTTCTTGGGGGCATTAGTAGCATAAGCTGTGACAAAACCAATATCTGTTTTTTCAAGTTTGGTTCAATGAGAACAATGTCAGATGCACTTCTTGGAGCATTAGTAACACAAGTTACGAAAATACCAATATCTGCTTTTTTAAACTGAACACTGACTATTTCTTAAATTGAACAATGTTATTATCGCTATTTTTAAAACTGAACAAAGTTTTCCAACTTTTATGAGCTAAACTAGCATTAGTATAAAGAAAGTGACGAAAATTGAAAGTATAAAGAACGTGATAAAAATTGAAAGTATAAAGAACGTAACGAAACTAAGATGCTATGTCTAGTGGCTCGGCCCAATGAAGCACAATTGTTTGTTCTAATTAAATTTACTTCCTGTTAACATATATTACAATTAAAAATCCTGAAATGCTAGATAAGATACCATAACTTTATTGTCAATTTTTGTGAGTCTTAAACATTTCAAAAAATGCATGTACAAAAATTTCTTAATAAAACACTAAATATTATAGGACACAAAATTATTGTAGTGCTAAGAAAAGATATATTCTAAGTTGGCAATGTAAAGCTGATAACAAGTAACCAGAAGATAAATAACTTTTCTAACTTATCACTGTGACCGTAAGGCAAATAGATTTGTGATCAAATTTCTGCTGATCCAAGACCAAAGTCTGAAGGGGTTGAAAGCTTTGAACTAAAAAGAATAAACATATTTGTTAACAATGAAAAGAGGTCAAACCATATGGAAATTGGATGATTGCGATACACTATTTAAGATGTATATGTACTGGAAAAGTAATTAAAAGAGATTTTAAGAGATAATTAGATAATAAAAACTCATCCCTCATATTAAAAAGGAGGTTCCAAATGAAGCACCAAACAAATTGAAAAGCAAAAGCGTGAAGAAACAGCTCTGACCGTCTGTTCAAGCTCTTGACCTCCTCGTTTGTCATTTGCCCTCCAAGCCTAGCAGCTCCAGCTTCCGGCTGCCGGAGTCTTCACCTTCATCATTAATTCGATTGGAGAAATTCAATAACAAAATAAAGAAACCGTGAATTGCAAAAATGGAGGAAGTGAAATTGAATTGGAAATAAAAGCACTATCAGAGAAAAGATGGAGGATCGAGAAAGGGAGAGAGAGAGAGAGACATTAAACGGAGAAGGGCATGCCGTAAGGGGCAAAATTGAAAATTCATTGTTTGGACCATTTTGATTGGATTGGTTTTATGTTGAGTTTTGTCGTAATCATTAAATAAAATTATTATATAATTTTTTGTAAACATTTAAAGTTTTCAAATCATTTTCATTAGTTTTCCTTTTAAAATTGTAACAATTACTAGTGAGATCAAGTTTTCTTAATTTTTAAACTTCATGGGGGCTCAAGACTCGAGCATTGATTGAAAATTGTAACATGAAGGTTTAAGTCTCCATTAAACACGTTGTCAGTGGGTCTTTTCTCTGTAAACATCTCTAGCAAGAGAATTCCAAAACCGTAGATATATCCAATTATTAACGCCTCACTTCCTATATCGTAGTTTCTGATTCTTGGAAATTAAAATATGTGAAGGAATAAGTCCAAGTAAATGATAATAACTTTGGCTTTTTTTAGACGACTTCACTAGCTTACTTCCGCTATTGGGACCTATTGTCTAGCACTTTCGGTGCGCCAAGCACCAAGACCATTAAAGCACCTTGATTCTAGAAGCTGACTGGAAACATTTGGCAACCATCCAAAATGAAAAAACAAATACATGGAACCCTATATTTAGGTCACATTATACGTCACAATGGTAGAAGGGCAACCCTACCTATGAATGGAAATTTTGAAGTTTGTACGTTTTCTGAGGGTTGGACGGTGAGATTGATGATTTTCTCATAGTTCCCCTAAAGTATCATTGCAAGAAAGCTTGTTGTGGATGCAACCGTTCTAAAAATTATGACTATTACTAGTGAGATCAAGTCTTCTTAATTTTTAAACTTCATGGGGGCTCAAGACTCAAGAGCATTGATTGAAAGTTGTAACATGAAGGTTTAAGTCCCCATTAAACACGTTGTTAATGGATCTCTTCTATGTAAATATCTCTAGCAAGAGGATTTCAAAATTGTAGACATATCCAGTTATAAGCACCTCACTCCCCATACCACACTCTGCCATTCAAACATCAGAAAATGTTGTTAGCAAACTGAGAACAAAATAGTTGAATTATGCAAAATTTATATATATATATATATATTAAAAAAAAAAAAAGGATATTGTGGAGAGGATGTGAATATTTACCTAAAACCACATAACCAAGCGTTCTGTTAGTCTAGCAGAACTTGTTTGATTTGTTGAAGCTTTTATACTGGTCAGTTGTGAGAGAAACCTTGCTAATCAAAGTCAGAAACATGTCTAGTCGACATGTTGTCCAATAGAACAGTACTTGGCTTCAGATCACAATGAACTATTGATGTTTCACAGTGATTATGAAGATAATCGACTAATCAAGAGCACAAGCAACATCAATGGCAATGCTGAGCCTTTGCAAAAGATTTAAACTCTTGGGTGCCTCTCTTGCTTCTTTCAATATCAGTCGGTGGATGCAGCCACTTCTCTAAGCTTCCTTTTCCATGTACTCATAAACCAAAGCCTTGAAATCATTACCAAGAGAATCAACACTTGAATATACAGTTATAATCTTGACGAGATTTCGATGCTTGATATTTCTCAAAACCTCACATCCAGATATAAAACACTTTGCTGCTCAATGGCGTAACAAGTTAAACACCTTTACGGCGGCAACCAATTGAGCTCTATCATCAACATCGACAACTCCCTTGTACACAACCCCAAAACTTCCAGCACCAATCAAAAATTAGCCTCAGATAATCCATCAGTAGCTCTTAGCAGAGTAGCATATGAAACTTGCAAATAAGAGTTTGTTAT